GGGACATGGATAGAGCTAGAAGCCATTATCCTCAGCAAACTAACATAGGAACAGAAAATGAAACACCAAATGTTCTCACTTATAAGTAGGAGCTGAACAATGAGAACACAAGGAAACAGGGAAGGGAACAACACTCACTGGGGCCTGTTCAGGAAGCAGGGGGAAGGACAGCATCAGGACAGATAATGCACGTAGGGCTTAATACCTAGGTATTGGGTTGATACATGCAGGAAATCACCAAGGCACACATTTACCTATGTAACAAACCTGCATGTCCTGCATGTGTATTTCAGAACTTAAAATAAATTAAAAAATAAAAAATTTAATTTTTTTTTTAATAATGAAAAAGTGAATCACAGCATAAAAGTTTGAAAATTTTGCACCTTGACTATGTGGTAGAAAAGAAAAGAAATACACATTTTCTGGGGGCCTTGCCTAGTAGAGCTGTGAGTAAAGGGCCACCATATACCAGAAGAAAGTTAGATCCAATAACAGCTTGCACTGTGTACTTGAAAAAGCCACAAACACTCAATGCCGGTCCTTGAGAGAAGCCATGGGAGCTGAGCCCTGCACAGCCACAGAGGTGGAGCTGCCCAAGGCCTTGGAAGCCCACCTCTTGCATCAGCATGCCTTGGATGTGAGACATGGAGTAAAAGGAGATTATTTTGGAACTTTAAGATTTAATGACTGCCCTGCTGGGTTTCACACTTCCGTGGGGCCTGTAACCCCTACGATTTGGCCAATTTCTTCCCTTTAGAATGGGATTATTTACCCAATGACTGTGCCTTCATTGAATATTGGAAGTAACTAACTTGTTTTTTATTAATATTTTACAGGCTCATAGGCAGAAGGGACTTGCCTTGTCTCAGGTGAGACTTCGGACTTGGACTTTTGAGTTAATGGTGGAATGAATTAAGACTTTGGGGGACTACTGAAAATGCATGATAGATTTTGCAATGGGAAAATAACATGAGATTTGGGAAAAACCAGAAGAGGAATGATATGGTTTGGCTGTGTCCCCACACAAATCTTATGTCAAACTGCAATTCCTACATGTCAAGGCAGGGATATAGTGACAGGTGATTAGATCAAGGGGGCAGATTTCCCCCATGTTCTCATGATAGTGAGTTCTCATGATATCTGATTGTTTGAAAGTGTGGCACTTCCCCCCTTGCTCTCTCCTTCCACCACGTCCTTGCTTCCCCTTTGCCTTCCACCATGATTGTAAGGGTCCTAACACCTACCCAGCCATGTGTAACTGTGAGTCAATTAAACCTCCTTTCTTTATAAATTTCCCAGTCTCAGGTAGTTCTTTGTAGTGTATAAAAATGGACTAATAGAGTAAGGTATTTATTTCAACTATTTGCTTGTTTTTCTCATCCCTCCTGAGAGGACTTTCCAAATATTCAAGGGGGATTGAGTGTTGTTACCTAAGCCTGTTGTCATTATAGCCATTTCAGGACTAGGGGACCACCTAAGCCCAGGAATGCTGTGACTCTTTCATGTTCAGATACGTAGCCTTGGTGGTCTTGAAGATAATAATTCTGTCAATTTCCATGTAAAGTCCCTCATTCCATTCCTCCTACTTTCTCCCAATTAGGTGTATCTCTCTATGCTGGGCTGTCTGGAGTTGGGTGAAGGGTGATGCAGGCACTTCCATGGCCTCCACTGGTGGCATTTCACTGTATTTCTTGTAGGCAATGCAAGGCTATCCTTTCTACCCTCTTCAATGCTTCTTCTCCTATTATTTGTTAAAACAAGATGATGTAATTTCTCATCTGGTTTTTGTTTTTGTTTCAGTTTTGTTGTTGTTGTTGTTGTTGTCTGTTTTTTTTTTTTTTAATGAAGGCTCTTTTGCATGGATAGTTGTACAATTTGGTGCTCCTGAGGGGAGATGATCACTGGATTGTTCTATTTGGCCATCTTACTCCACATCCTCTCACAAAATTAAACACATAAATAAAAAGTTAATATCACATTTTATTTATCTATTCATCTGCTGATGGACAGGCTAATTCTGTATCTTGGCTATTGTGAATAATGCTACAATGAACATGAAAGTCCAGATATTTATTTGACATACTGATTACATTTCCTTTGGAAACATAGCCAGTAGTGGGATTGGTGGATAATATGGCATTTTTAATTTTTTAGGTAACCTCTATAAAGTTTTCCAAAATGGCTACAAATTCCCACCAACAATGTGTAGTTTCTTTTCTCCACATCAGTTTCAACACTTTTTGTAATCATTCATCTTTATATATATATATAATACCCATTGTAATGGACATGAGGTGATATTTCATTGTGGTTTTCATTTGTATTATAACACAAATTACAACATAGGCTGTACAAAAAGCGTGGCATCAGCACCTGCTTTTGGTGAGGGTTTCACAGAAAGTTTCCAACCACGGTGGATGGGGAAGAAGAGGCAGCATGTCACATGGCAAAAGCGAAAGCAAGGGAGAGAGGAGGAGATATCAGGTTCTTTTTTAACTGACAGGTCTCATGAGAACTAAGAGTGAGAACTCACTCGATCCCATGAGAATGACACCAAGCCATTCATAAGGCATCTGACCCATAATCCAAACAATTTCAACCATGCTCCACCTCCAACACTGGAAATCAAATTTCAACTTGAGATTTGGAGGTGATGAATACCCAAACTAAGATATTTGGCCCATTTTCTAAACAGGTTGTTTTCTTCTTATTGAATCATATAAATTGTTTATATATTATGGACTTTAACCCCCAACAAGACGTATGGTTTGCAAAGACTTTCTTTCATTCTGTAAGTTGTCTCTTCCCTCTGGTGTTTGTTTTCCTGTGCAAACACTTTCAGTTTGGTTTAATTACAGTTTTTTAATTTGCTGTTGTTGCTTGTGCTTTTGTAGTCATATATTAAAAAAAAAAATCATTGACAAGGCTATATCATGGATCTTTTCCTTATGTTTTCTTCCAGTAACTTCATAGTTCTGGCCCTCTGTTTAAGTCTTTAAACCATTTTGAGTTGATTATTGTATATGGTGTAAGAGAAGGATCTAATTTCATTCTTCTGCATGTAGAAATTTAGCTTCCTCAATACCATTTATTAAAAAAGACCATCCTTTGTTCTGTGGTCTGGACAACTTTATTGAAAACTAATTGACTGTAAATATGTGGATTTATTTCTAGGCCCTTTATTTTGTTTTATTGGCCTATGTTCTATTTTTATGCCATTACCATTTTGTTTTACTATAACTTTGTAGTATATTTTAATATCAGGTAGTGTGATATTTATTTATTTTTTTCTCTCAAGGCTGCTTTTCCTATCAGAATCTTTTGTTGTTCCATAAAAACTTTTTGATTATTTCTGAAGTTTTGTGAATTGTTATTAAAATTTGAATAGAGACTGCAGTAAGACTGTAGATTTCTTTTGGTAGTATGAAAACTTTAATCATATTAATTCTTCCAATTCATATGTATTGGAACACCTTTTTTATTTTTATGTGTCTTCTTTAATTTCTTTCATCAGTGTTTTATAGGATTCAGTGCATAGGTCTTTCACCTTTTTGATTAAACTTATTGCTGAGTATTTTATTGTAATGTATATATTAGAATGTCTTCTAGAAGGGAGTAATATATATTTTATTTCTAGTTTTATTTTAGATTTGTAGGGTACATGTGCAGGTTTGTTACATGCATACATTGCATGATGCTGAGGTTTGGGGTATAGATGATCCGATCACTCAGGTAGTGAGCACAGTATCCTATATGTAGTTTTTCCACACATGGCCTCCTCCCTTCCTCCCACTTCTAGTAGTCCCCAGTGTTTTTTGTTCCCATCTTTATGTCCATGTGTACTTGTACTCAATGTTTAGCTCACATTTATAAATGAGAACATGCATTATTTAGTTTTCTGTTATTGTATTAGTTCATTTAGGATAAGCCCTGATTCAGTTTCTCTGTGTTTTTCATCATTTAAATTAAGCTTTAAAAAAATCTTCTCAGGTTGCAACAAATTTGTGATGCCAATTTTCCCTTCCAGTCTTGCCCCACTCTTCTAGCATTAGAGCTTGCAATCAGCTTTGGGAAGCTACAGGTGCCTCCAAGAATCTCCCAGAGTTGTGCATGGAGGTCTGAAATGAAAGAACCACACTATCAGTATTTCTTTGTCCTTGCACCTAAAATCTCCTCCTATCTGAATCATAACTTCCAAGCTTAGACCTCCACATGCTAAACTGGGATACCTAGGAAGGGTCTAATCTTGCTTGTGCCTACCAAACTTTAACTTCATGTTCAAAACTCATAGAGCCAATGTGCTATGGTAGAAAAATGACAGGCAATGAAATAAAATGAGATTTGAGTGAACTGAGAGTGATATAACGCTACTGGAGGGGTGAAACAACATTGTAAATATACCAACACTCCTACCCCCAAATAATCCATCATTTCAATGCTATGTCAACCAAAACCTCAAAAAGAATTTTTTTAAAACTAATTTTAAATTCATATGTTAGGGCAAATATACAGTCACCAATTCATGTTTGGAAAAAAGGCACATGGGGTAAAATCTGTTCTACTAGGTATTATGGCATGTGATAGAACCATAAAAATGAAAACAGAGTGGTATCAGTTAAAGACTAAACAAATAACTCAATAGAACTAAAGAGTTTGGAAACAGATTAATTAGTATATCACATAATTAGTATATATAATTAGTATTATGATTTTATAAAAATATAATTAGCAATTAGTTTATAATATATATGAATACATAGTAAATAATAAAAATAGGATTTCAGAGCAGGGGTGAATAAAGCATTTGATTGCTCACTTATTGGGACAATTGGGTGTTGATTTGGAAAAAAATAAAATTAAAGCCATATCTCACATAATTCAGAAAATTCCTTTAGAAACAAAGTCTTCAAAATAAAAATTAAGATTATAAAAGCATTAAAGTACATGATATATAATGTGGGTGTTAGGAAGTAATCTTTTTAAAGAAAAAAACAAAATGCAAAAAATAATAAAGTTTATTGTATCACTAGAAAGTAGGCAGAAGACATGAACAGACTTTTCACCAAAGAATATATACATGTGACAATAATCACGTGGAAAGGTGTTCAATATGCTTAGCCATTACGGAAATATAAATTAAAACTATGTTATCACTACATACCTATCAAAATGGCTAAAATAGACAACAGTGACAGTACAAAATGCAGGTGAGGATTCAGAAAAGCTAGATCATACATTGTTGGTGAGAATAGAAAATGGTACAGCCACTCTGGAAGAATATGATTGTTTCTTAGAAAGTTAAAAATACACATCATTTGGCCCAGTAATTTGCACTTGGGGGCACTTACTCCAGAAAATTTAAAACATTTTTACAACAAAACCTTTACACACATGTTCACTGCAGCTTTATTGGTAATATCCCAAAACTGCCAATATTGCAGTTGCCTCTTAGAAGGCGAATGGTTAAACAAACTGGTGCATCTATACTGTGGAATACTATGCAGCAATAAAAATGAACAAATTATTGATACATCAAAAACTTTCATAGATCTCAAGGATATCTTGTTCAGTGAAAAAGTCAATCTCAAAAGGTTAAACACTATCTACTTTCATTTATATAACAATCTCAAAATGATAAAATTATGTTCAATCCAGGGGACCTAGTACTGGTAAAGGCACTTCTCTTCCTTTCTCCCTCTCTAGGCCCAGATCGGGAGGGAAGATTGGGAAGTACATTACTTCTTTCCACTCCTATAGCAGGGAAGGTCACTGGAACAGATTCTTGGATTCATTATACTCAAGTAAATGCACGGGGAAGCTGACAGCATTACCTTCATCAACCCAGCAGAGCACCCAAAGTATGAATGTGAAAAAATCTGGGACCTTAAGCTAAAAATCACAAAAGATAAGTGTTAATAATTGACCTTCCATGGATATCCTCTTTATAGTCTTGCCTATGCTTGCTGTTCTTACCTTCACTTTGTTCGTCACCATGAGGTATCTTTACCAAGGGTCCCTTAATCCTGAACACAAACAGAAATACCTACTCCTCTAAACAGTTATCTCTTTTCTAAAGTTTAATTGCTCCCATACAATATTTAATTTCTTTCATCGGGGCACAATATTGTTTTCAGAATTATTAGTATATTTCACTTCTTATTTCTGTTATCTTTGACACTAGATTCGTTTCTTTTAACTTCTCTTTGTATAACACCCATATTTGATCCATGCATAGTTAGCCTTGTAAAATTTGTTTCTTCTTGCCTACAGGCCAACAAACTCCAGTCATGCAACCAGAGCCTCAGACAATGGTTCCCTTTTACAGGGTTCCCTTAGATAGGCCTCTGAGAGAAATCTGACTGTCACTGCCCTGAAAACAATGCTCCCTGTCAGCAGGAAGTAGCTAAGATCAGTCATCATCCCTGTTCTAATGGCAGTTACATGTACCTCTTCAGAGGGGGAAATGATAGAGGCAGAAGGTAGAGAAATCCTAAAACAGGGGCAGGTACCCAGTGAAATCCCACCTTCAAGCCAAAGACAGTTTAAACCCTAAAGGCCAAGTTACAAGTAAAATTCACAGACCAGGTTGCAAACCTGTCTTCCCATTTTACATGCTTTCCTTTGATTGATCCCCACCTTTCACCTATTTTACATTTATCTACCCTTCCCTAATTCTTTTTACACTGTGCCCACCTTTGACTGGTGCCTTTGTTTTAACCTTTTGTGCATACTCACAAACCAATCAGCAAGCACTCCCCTCCCCTGTGCCTATAGGAGCCCCAGACTCAGCCACATCAGGGAAGAGATGACCTGACTTTGGAAGAGATGAACCGACCCTCCTGTCCCCTCCCTTCTCCACTGAGAGCTGTTTTGCCACTCAATGAAATTCTCTACCTTCATCACCTTTCAATTGTCAGCACGACCTCATTCTTCTTGGACACAGAAGAAAAGCTCAGGACCCACTGAACACCTGTACCCAAAAAGGCTGTAACAATGGCCCTTTGCTCTCACCAAAGGATGGCAGTTGTCCCATGTGACAGAAACAGTGGTGGGTCCAAGCCGGCCCTGGAGCCACACTGTTTCTGGAGTCACATGCCAGGGTGAGGCAAAAGGCTGATTGAGCTGCTAACATGCCACCATCTACCGGGCTGTGGACAGTGGAACTAAAAGAGCTAATTAGTACACTGTAACACTCCCTTGGGGGCTTTGGGCTTGCAGGCACACCTGCCTGGGTTCAGCCATGTTCTCCTCAGTGCAATAACTTTGGTCGGGCCATGGGACCCACATGGAGTTTTCTCCTGTTGGTGCTCAGAGTGGCCGGCCAGACCCTGCACTTGTTCATGTGTTTCCTCCTGCCAGGGGCTGATCTTGGTGGATCAAGTAGATGGGGAGCCCCCTGCTGCAAGTCTAGCAAAGGGGCTGAGAAAAATCCCGTATCAAAATTTTTTGAGGGGTTTGGACATGAACAAGTTGGATTTTTTTCAAAATCTTTTTGCCTATTGAGATGATCATGTGGTATTAGTTTTTAATTTCGTTTCTGTGGGGAATCACATTTATTGATTTGCATATATTGAACCAGCTTTGCAAATCCTACTTGGTTGTGGTGCATTAACTTTTCGATGTGCTGCTGGATTCAATTTACTAGTATTTTGTTGAGGATATTTGCTTCTATATTCATGAAGAATATTAGTCTGAAATTTCCTTTCTCACGTTGTCTGCCAGATTTTGGTATTAGGCTGACGTTGGCTTCACTGAATGAGACAGTTAGCAGACACTCCTCCTCAATTTTTTGGAACTGTTTCAGAAGGATTACTACAAATTCTTCTTTGTTCACCTGGTAGAATTCACCTGTGAATCCATCTTGTCCTGGGCTTTTTTTTTTTATTGGTAGTTTTTCATTTTAATTACTGATTTAATTTCAGAGCTCTATATTGATCTATTCAGGGTTTCAATACATTCCTGATTTAATTTTGGGAATGTGTGTTTTTCCAGGAATTTATCCATTTACTCTGGATTTGCTAATTTGCATGCATATAGTTGTTCATAGTATTCCGTGAGGATTGTGGTCCGAGTGTGTGCTTGTTATGATTTCAATTTTTTTAATTTTTTGAGACTTTCCTTATGACTGGGCATGTGGTCAATCTTAGAATATGTTTCATATGCAGATGAGAAGATTATATATTCTATGGTTTTTGGGTGGAGTGTTGTGTAGATGTCTTTTTAACCCAATTGGTCAAGTTTCAAGTTTAAGTCCAGAATTTCTTTGTTAGTTTTCTGCCTTGATGTCCTGTCTAATGTTGTCAGTGTGGTGTTCAAGTCTCTCACTATTATTCCATGGTTGTTGAAGTCTTCGTAGGTCAAAAATAACTGTTTTTGAATCTCAGTGCTCTAATGTCAGCTGAATATACATTTAGTCTAGTTATATCTTCTTGTTGTATTGTATGCTTTATCATTACACAATGTCTATAACTTTTATTAGTTTAAAATCTGTTTATCTGATATAAAAATAGCAACACCTGCTCTTTTTAATTTGCATGGTAGATCTTTCTCCAACCCTTTACTATGAGCCTGGGGGTGTTATTAAATGAGATATGTGTCTTTTGAAGACAGCAGATGTTTGGGTCTCATCTTTCTTCAGTTTGGCCTATTCTGCTGTTAATATTTCCAATTTTATTATGAAATTCTTGTAGTGAGTTTTCAGCTCTATCAGTTTGATTCTTTGTTAAAACGGTTATTTTGTCTTTCAGCTCATTTCATTTTACTGGATTTTTTAGATTCCTTGGATTGAAATTTTAACTTTCTCCTGAAGCTTCCTTGCCATATAAATTTTGAGTTGTATGTCTGTCACTTCAGTCATTTCCAAAATGTTAAGGACCATTCTTGGGGAGCTAGTGGACTTGTTTAAGGGTAGGGGGACACTCTGGCTATTTGTTTTGCCAGAATTCTTGGGCTCATTCTTTCTCAACTGGGAGGACTGACATTCCTTCAACTGTAGTGTAGTTTGAGTATAGTCAGTTGCATTTATTTCTGGATGTTTTCAGAGGGCCAAGGCTCTGTGGTGGGTCTTTTCTTGTGTGTGGCTGAAATTATTGCCCTTGGTTTCACAGATGAGTATATTAGCAAAATAATTTTGGTGTTCTAGTTTGGGCTACAATTCAGTAGATGGTGTTTAAGAGTAATAGTAAATAGGCTCTTATTATACCATGTGGCTTCTCTGTATTTCTTCATGCTTTCAGGTGTGCTCTTTGGTGCGGGGTGGAGAGAGGTGACTCCCTCACTAGGTCCACTCCTGTGTCATGGAAGAACTCCCTATAATCACTGGCATGGCATCCGCTTTTCTTTTGTTAGGCATTCTAGGCTGCAGGACTTCCATGGGCAGGGGCCATGACGGGGAGATAGGCCATAACTTTCCCAGGTGGAACCTGCAGATGGAGGCATGCTGTGTTTCTGCACAGTTCCTGAAGCTTTGACTCTAACCTCTCAGGACTCTGAGAGTGTGGGTTCCTCTCCTGCTCGTGTGCTGGCCACAGATCACCATTTGACACTCCTAAGCTATGCACAGTAGCCCTGGGGTATGTTTAGGCTTCTTGTTCCCTATTCAGCTTGGGGCAGCAGGGGTGGGGACCTCAGCAGCAATGATGGCCGTCGGCCTTCTCATTTGTCTCTGGGAGCTATATGACAGAGAAACACAGAGCTACTGCAAATTGCAATGATCAGCTGGGGGTGACACTTCTTTGCTGCAGGCCCAAGCCAGAGGGCCCTGCCTGGTGAAGAGATGGGGTTGGGGGGCGGCTCCTGGGAACACAGTCTGATCTCCTCTCTGTAGGGTGGCTGTAGCATGCTGGAAGTGCGAGTACAGTACTCAAGCTCTTTGTGACTTTTCCACCCTGGGGGCAGCAAGTACTGTGGAAGGCAGGAGCAGAGGGACTATCAGTTGCTTCTGGGAACTCCACCTCACAGAAACACAGAGCTACTGCCAATGGAATGTTCAGCCAGGCGTTGTTACCAGTGGCAAATCTGTACAGGTCTGCAGCAACCTCAACTCTTGACTCCTCAGAAGGCTTTTGACTGAGGGGCATAAGGCAGAGTGAGAAACCAAAGCAAGTTTAAAGCAGGCCTAAAAGTATATTAAAAAGCATTAGAGCAGGAATGAAAGAAAGTGAAATACTCTTGTAAGAGGAACAAGCGGGTACTTCAGAGATAAGTGCACAGTTTGATCTTTTGACTTGTGTTATATATATATATATATATATATATATATATATATATATATATATATGTTGATAGGCTTCAAGGGTCTTGCGTCCCTTCTTCTCTGATTCTTCCCTTGTGGTGGGCTGTCCACATGCACAGTGGCCTGCTAGCACTTGGGAAGGGCCACAGGCACAGTGTGTTTACTGGAGTTGTATGCATGTTCTCTTGAGGAGTTCTTCCCTTAACAGTCAAATGTCCTCAGAAGGTCATACATCAGTTAAACTCCACCATTTTGCCTCTTGGTGCACATGCCTGAGCCCACTCGCCTGATTCCTGAGATCTCATCAGGAAGCTGATCACTAGTTTCAGTATTTTCCTATTGGGAGACTGCCTTTCCCTTGCACAAGCTGTGACCAATTATTACTTTAGGGAGACACTTAAAAACCACCTGACATTCCTGGTGTGTGTGTGGTGGGGGAGAGACCTCCCCTGCTCTGCTCATGTCTTACTAGCTACTTACTGTTACCATGTCCCCTCTCAACAATCCAAGACCCCAATTCTTTGGGGAAAATTGATATAAGTCAGTCTTCTGTAATTGTTTCCTTCTGACAGAAGTTAGCTGTCAGAGCAGGGTAGTTCCATGGATTGGTGAAAGTGGTAGCCACCCAGGGCCAAGGAAGACAGTGGCAAGATTTTGCCTCTGTCATGTTCCACTGATGGGCAGTCTAGGGGTCCCCTCTAGAAGTGTGACTCTAGTATTGAGAGGACAGTATCCATCACTGAGCATATTTTGGAGCTTGATAGCCTGAACACAAGAGGAAAGACATCAGGTTAGTAGATTGAGAATAATGTCAAAACAAAATAAGGGGGAGAAGACACCTCCAAAAAATCCAGAAGCTGCCAACATGCACTGGTAGTTGGTGGCTATATTCATGCCTGATAAGACGTGGGTGCATGGGGTTGCTAGCCAATTCTTCTATTGCCCAGAATTAGCACATTGATTCAGGTTTTTACATGACCCATCTCTCTTGTTTCTTCTGAGTTGTAGCCAGAGTTCACTAGTTGGTTCACAGGAATAAGCAGGGTTAGTCTGAATTGCAGACAAACACTCAAAAACAACTGATGAGACTAGAATCTAGTAATAGGTATATTATAGTTCTTGAAACATGATTTTTCTCTTTCCAGTCCTCCTTTGTTTAAAAAATATCATGACAGGATTGATTAGTTTGCAGAATAAACTTTAGTCTTATTATACTTGACCTGATTATTTGCATAAAGAACAGCAAGAATAATTACTTGTCATATAGGCTCCCTTTTAAATTGTCTTTGATGGAACTTCATTTCATGAGGAATCAGATAAGACTTTTTTGAAGACTTAATCCCAGCCATGGGTTAGTGTCATCAATTACCTATATGAGTTGGGTAAATTCCTCTCCTCTTGAGGTCCCAAGACAACTTGGGGCTACTTGGCCTACTGGAAAATAACATTCTTTACTTACCAGAGGTCAAGAGATGTGTACAGTGACTATTTAGACAAAGTATGAGGCCAGTTTTCCCCAAGGTGTATTTATTGGCTCTCTAAGTCAAAGTTGATTCCTTAAAGCCACCTGCAAGTATGCCATTCCAGTCAAAACCTTGGTAAAATAACCAGTTTCTCCAATTGTGTCCTGTGTAAAAGAAAGTAGATTCTTATTGCACTAAGGCAAGTAACTATATTGCCATGAGTCAAAAATACTTACAAGTAGTATCTAAATTCTGGAGAAATCAAGTAAAGAGAAAGTAATATGCTCTAAATTTTGTTTACAGGCACATGCTTTACTCAACTGTTAAAAGCTGTAAGGATTATTAACAGTCTTTTATTAGTTTAGTCCATGCAGTTAACTCCTGTTCTGCTTGATCTTCATGAACATTTCAGCTTTCCATGAGAGTTCTGAAAGCTTTTCCTCTATTGTAACATCAAAATCTCTGAAGTCATCAGAAACCTGCATTTAAGATCATCTGTTAGAGTTTTAGTTGATGAAAACAACACCTTTTAAATAGAATTAAACAACAATTGTCTATGGATGACAAAAAGTCTTAGGGCACCGATAGTCAAAGATACAATTGAGAAGGATATTTGTTACCTCTGTGGCACATAATAATATAACAATTACAATGATCACTGATAACTTATACTAAGTTGTATCAGAATTATAGGAGTTTTGCATAATTTTGGAACACATACCAACTACAAATTTATAAAAAGTAGATTAATGCTTTAATAAAACTGTTATGCTTTTATTCCAATGTTTAATTTATGGAAAAACTGAATAATACTCCTTTAACTTTAGCCAATAAGTTACATACAGATTTTATAATATTAATCTTTCAAAAAACTTGCAAAACTTGCTTAAATCTTCAACTTTATCCTATCTAACTTAAAATAATCCTTTAACCCTCTAAACCAGGCCAAAAAAAAAAAAAAAAAAAAAAAAATCTGCATTCCCATGTCTTCTTACAACCCTTTGCCAAAAGCACATTCTATTTTCCTTACACGTCTTGCATGTACAGCTGTTTTTCCAGCAGTATCAAGTACATGTTACACTGTTAACTCTTAGCAATTTTTACTTTTGGTGAAAAACCTGATAAATAAGTGATTCTAATTATGTACTACGTTTGGAGCCTAGGACACCAGACAAAAGTGTAGATAAAGTTTGATTCCAGTATAGCTAGAAGCATGGCTAACCCTGTATGTCCCCCATTCCTTACCTAGGTTTAAAGCAGGCAAGTTGTATAGTTAAGTAATAGAAGCAGTTTATGGAGCATTTAATATCCCTTAAAATTGTACATTTTCATAACTTCTGTTTGATTTTTTCATAACTTACACAGACCATCTATGACACGCTTTGACTTTCTGACTTGTCCTAAAATCCCTCTTTTTAAACAACCAGTCATTTTATTTTAGGACAATAACTTACCATACAAGATCCTTTTTTTATACGAAATCTTTTTCTTTATAACTTTCCTTACCAGAAATACCTTTACTTTTATAACCTTTGGATTAGATAAAAATAATTTTACTTCTGTTAGGAAGTTATGGTTTGAACTACATGTTACTGTATGAGTCCTGTGAAGGGCAGAAGGAGTTTATCTGTGCACTGTAGAGTTTTTGCCCCAAAGAGGTGTGAATCTTCTCTTTTGGAGTGAGGTGGCGCTATATGCCCCCGTTACCCAACAGGATTTGGAAGAGTTGCTTAGGAGAGAATTAGCACAGAGCAGTTAGCTCTTGAACCCAAAAGAGAAACTTATAACTTTACTTGCCACCTCCAGAGTTACTCTTGGCTTTGTACCATTGACAACACTGATGTCTGATTTAGAAGCCAGACAGAGTAGAAAGCCCCTTCACTCAAGGCCATCAGGGGTTGGGATTCTTTTCCAGAGGCCATTTGGCCCTCTTGACAGTCCCATTTCCAGTGGCTGAGCTTGTGGTAGAGGGGCCAAGTCATGCACAGTTTTTTCCCATGTATTCCATTACAACAGTTTGCCTTCCAGTGGCCTGGCTTCCTGCCCCAATGGCAGTTCCCTAGAGGAGTGTCCTTAGGGCAATTGGAAGGGGGCTGGTGGGCTTGCAGAGCAGCCAACAGTTAAGCCTGCCTCCTTTCCCTGCATTTCTCCTTTTCCTTGGCCCTGTACTCCTTATTCTACTTTCAGTTATAAGAGACAGAGGAGGTTAATTTGAGGATTTCCTGCATAAGGGCACCAGGTTCTAAGGCTGACTTTTGTTATTTCCTCCATTTATTTTATAGGCCAAATAGTATTATAAAGGAAAACTAGTATTTTTAAGGTTTGGAGAAATCACACTTCCCAGTTTTGGGGGATGCATCTGAGGGGCATGGTTTGTGGTATGGAGACAAGATTACCCATCTGTGAAGAGAGAACTGAAGAGAAAAGGAACAAAAGGAAAAAGGTATCCCCTCTTACTTTCCTCTGACCCTTAATAGGGCATTTCCCATTCTTCCTTAGGGTTCTCGAATGAATCAGTCTTATTGTGTACACTTAACCTTGGTCTCAACTCATCACAATTACCTACTTGAGAACCTGATATACTGGAGTGAACAGTGGGCAAACTATTCATCCTTGGGGTTCCATTATGAACTGGTCTTACTCTGTACCCCAATCTTGCTTTCATCTCTATTTTCATAGTAATTTGTCAGCCTGGGACCAACCTTCGTCTCTGTCCTATTGGTGTCTTGTGCTTGTGGCCTTGGGCTTGCCTATATCCTTGTCTTCATGAACTTATAGTGACTCTCATTCAGTGCATTCTAACAACAAAACAATTGTCACTTTTCTCAGATTCCCAATTCCCATGTTCCTTAAGTAGAGGAGAAGCTTGTTTTTCAGTAAACTGCCACAAGGGGGCTGAAGTTCCCTCCGCACGCCCTTCACATATAACCTTGAAGGTCTTGATGCATGTTAAGAAGGATGTGGAAGTAGAGAAATGGAGGCTACAGAGGAAGTGGGAGCAAGTGAGAATAATACTCGTGGAAAGCCTTCATATGCTCGCAAAAACAGCAGCACTTGGATTTGAGAGGATGTTTATTTGCCCCCTTCATACAAAATAGTAACCTTTGGAGTACTTGGGGTTTGAGGCAAGAACATACAAACTGCAAAAGAAGAATTTCTCCTCCTCCCAAAAAGATGCTAACTCAAAAAAAGCAAGTGGATGGGATCTTAAAGGGCCAGAGTGAGGCCATATGCTGGTGGACAAACCACTTCAAAAGCTACGAGAAAACTTGGCCCTTGGCATAACAGGAATGAAAAGCATATGGTAAGTCATAAGGAGCTGGCAGAGCCTGAGTTTCAATTAGTGTCTGTCCCAGCAATGTGCTACCAGACAGAGGAAGGGTTGCAGGTCATCTCAACTGCTAGAGTAAAAACAAGTATAAATCTCAGGGGATATCTGGAAGGCAGTCTGTGTCTTTGATGCTGTGTGAATACAGCAAGAACTGCAGGTGCATGAATTACTGGCAGTATTTGTTTAAGAAGTCACATGGCATGCAAAGAGGCAGACTTGACCATGGGGTGGTTGGTCCAGAGAGTGTGCAAGGCCATTCAGAACACACAGAGAGAAAACAGGGCAATAGGCAATGTGGGCTTTTGAGAAAAAGACCATTTTTAGTTGAAAAAGCAGAAGAAACTCCAGACATTGCACAGTTTTGAGTGCTAGCTCTACCACTCTTGTGAGCCTCCTGTCCAGGAGGGCCATTAGTGCCTCAGTTCTACTTGGTGCATACCCCAATGTCCTTCCCACTCCCACAGCCACTCCTCAGGGTGAGCTGAGAGAGAAACCAGGGTGAGGAGAGCCACTTTCGGTGGAGAGGAATCATTCTTGGGGTTTGTTAGTAAGCAGGAGAGAGAAAAGGAGAAGAAAAAAAGGTGTACAGGGGTTGAATACCTCTGGCCAAAGAAGGGGAGGTGTAGAGGTCTCTTACCAATAGGGAACATATCCATATCCAAGTCACTCAGCACCAAAGTATGTCAGTGGTAAAAAGTACTCGAGTCTCATAGCACCAAAATATGTTAGTGGCAGCAAATCTGTAAGGATGTGCAGCAACCTCAATCCTGGCCTCCATAGAAGAATTTAACCAAGGGTATAAGGCAGAGTGAGAAACCAAGGCAAATTTTACAGCAGAAATGAAAGTTTAATAAAAAGCTTTAGAGCAGGAATGAAAGGGAGTAAAATACACTTGGAGAGGGCTAAGCAGGTGACTTGAGAGATTGAGTGAATAATTTGACTTTTTGACTTGAGGTTTTATATGTTGGCATGTTTCCAGGTTCTTGTGTCTCTTCTCCCCTGATTCTTCCCTCCCAATGCACTGTCCACATGAGCAGTGGCCTGCTCGCACTTGGGAGGGGCCCCATGCACAGTATGTTTACTAGAGTTGTACACATGTTCACTTCAGGCATGCTTCCTATATTAGTCCATTTTCATGTTGCTGATAAAGACATATCCAAGTCTGGGTAATTTATAAAGAAAAAGAGGTTTAACGGACTCACAGTTCCACGTGGCAGGGGAGGCCTCACAATCATGACGGAGGGTAAAAGGCATGCCTTACATGGTGGCAGGCAAGAAAGAATGGGAGCCAAGCAAAAGGGGAAACCCCTTATAAAACCATCAGATCTCATGAGACTTATTCACTACCAGGAGTACAGTATGGTGGAAATGGACTCCAGGAATAGATTATCTCCAACAGGGTCCCTCCCAGAGCACATGGGAATTTTGGGAGCTACAATTCAAGATGAGATTTGCGTGGTGACACAGCCAAACCATATCAACTCCCCTTAACAGTATAGTATTCCTAGAGGGAGGTCACATACCAGTTAAATTGAACCATTTTGGCTCTTAGTGTACATGCCTGAGCCACTTGCCTGAATCCTGAGATCTTATTGGGATGCTGATCACCAGTTTCAGGATTTTTTCTGTTTATATGGAAAACTGCCTTTCCCTGGTTTCAGCTGTGACCAATTATTATTTTAGAGAGACAGTTACCAACCACCTGAGCACTGATGGTTGCCTGACATTCCTGGTGTGTGTGTGTGGTAGGGGAGGGGAGCATGGAGCTCTCTCCTGCTCTGCTCACACCTGACTAAGCTATCTACTGTAACAGGGTGGGGTGGCTGCACTATGGGCCCAAGCTAGGGGCCCTGTCTGGTGAAGAGGGTGTCAGGGGCTCACAGAGGAGACAGACTGGCCTCTCTGTAGGGAAGCTGTGGTGTGCTGCGGGCATGAGCAGAGAAATCACATATTGTCTTCTAAAAATGACTAACCAGTAGTTACTTGTAATAAATGGGATATAAATATTTAGTAATGTAAGTAATTTAAACAATATTTTATTTAATAAATAATTATATCTTGATGGAAAAAATATTTGACTAGATGTATTTTCTGTATTATTTCTCCATTACCAATACCTGTGAGAACCCAGGGCTGGTTTAATAGGGC